CAGGACGACAGCACTGCCGCCCAGGGAAGGCCCTGGGCGCTGGGGCTCGAGCAGGCCCCCCGCGGCCGTATCGGCACCACGATCACGAAGTCTGCTTTCGCCCCTTGTGCGGTCGCCTCGACTGGTCCACCCCAGTCACAGTTAGCCACGCGGAGTGATGGCGTTCCTGTGTGCCGCACTTCGGAGTGCGGCCCCAACGTCGTCGCGTAGCGCCTGCCGCCGCGCCAGACCTCGCGCAACCCATGCGCGCAAGCTCCAGGAGGCCAACGGCCGATTGGCTGGCCTTCATGCGGCAGGCCCCCCGCCTGGACTCGTGACGCAGCTGCACATCGCATCGGACATGCTGTACCACGAATTCGAGGACAATTTCTGGACCCCCACTGCAATGCTGGTCTCCGACATGGAGGTCAACGAGCTGGTCACCTACGGCGAGGGCCTCACGAACGAGCTGCTGCGGATCCTTTCGCCGCAGCGCGTGGCAGACACGGAGCAGTATGCCGCCGCCGTGCCTGGAGTCATCGATGTCTCGGACGCCGAGCATATCGAGAAGGCCGTGGCCGAGAAGCCGCACGACGGCTTCGACATCCAGGCTGTGGACCCAGAGCATCCCCAGGGCACGGAACCCTTCGATTTGGAGGGAGACGACGGCGACGACATCAAGAAGTCTGCGGACGAGCAGGTGGTGCAGTTCGCCGCGGAGCGGACTGTGGAGCCGCCCAACCAGGAGGCGATTGAGGCGTCGAAAGCTGTGCAGATCGAGCAGGCTGTGCCGGAGAAGCTGCACGACGGCTTCCTCAGCCAGGCGGAGGTCCAGGAGCAGTTCCTGGGCACGGAGCCTTTCGACGAGGCGGCCGCCCACGACGACGCCATCGAGGTCAATCCCGGGGTGATCCAGGAGCAGTTCGGCACCACTAGCTGGAAGTACCGCGCTGGAGAAAACTGGCTGTCCTTCGGCAATCAGAGCGCGGAGATAGAGAACGCATCTGTTCAGCTCGTTGAAGGAGAAGGCGACCGACATTACAACGTGAAGATGGATAGTTGCACGCCTGTCCGACTAGACTTTGTTTCTTTCTGTATGAAGCCACGTTATCAAAGCAAGTTCAATCGCTTCAGTTACAAACTATGAGGCCGCGATTAGCGTTGCCCGCATTCACTGAAGTCTGAGATAGTTATTGCCCGCGTGCAGCTTCTATATGATCAGATAATGTGTTTGTTCTTTGTTCAGTACTCGCTGCATTCTGTGTCTGTGCATTTCTGTTGTATCCTGTTTCGCAGGTGACATGCATGTCTTCGGAAACCTTCCTTGGAAAGGAACGGATTTCTGTGCCGCCGGCAGGTCGAAGAGCCAGGCATACCCCTGGCGCTTCCCTGCGCAGGAGAGCGGCGGAGGCTACGCCCTTCGCCCAATCCGATTCGATATCGACCGTGCCACGTTTCTCACTGTTCTATGCGTGTATGGGATAGATCTTGACAGACAGCGAGATCAGGTAGTTGAGCCATTCTCTGGTGCTTCCCTGGTCAGTAATGGAATGTCTCAAAGACCCCCTGAGGGTCGTCGGATTTCTCCCGCGCCGCTGGCGCAGCTGTTCGGACGGAGAGGCAGCCCATGCCAGGCAGAGGCCACCCCGCCCTAGAGGACAGGTGGCCTGAACTCATGATCCAACTGCGTGCTGGTCCTCCTCTTCCTCTCTCCCCGGCCGTTCGTCACCCCCCCGCCCCACTCTTCCCGCCTCCCGACCGGTGCGGCGCGCGAGCGGGTGCCGGCCGTGAGAAGCCGGCGATCGTGCCGAAGCCAGTCGGTGGATCTTTCATTTTCCCTTCGGGGAGCAACAACCAAAAAGTGAAACCTCACATATATTCAAAGGAGTAAGTGTTATCCACACCTCTACCCTCCTCTCGTTTTCCCCTTTTTGGTCCTCCTGGAGGCCCTTGTCGCCACCGTTGTCAGAACGCACCCTGGGACAGGTCCAGGGAGTGGCGGTATTGGTACCTTTGGTCTCTCCATCGATGGAATTGATTTTTAGACGAACAAGAACATCAACCTAACATAGCATCACCAGAAAACAAAGACATGTTGCCTGAATGAACGCTGGCATATACATACAACAAACTCGGAGGTTCGCGGGGATTCCTCGGATCCGCGGTGGGGCCCCAGGCGGCGCCCCCGGCGCCGCACGAGGCGCGCTCCGCGCGCTAGAGCGGGTGGTCCAGCGCCGATCCGAGACATCCGCGCGGACCTACGAGTTTTTTTGTTAATTTGTTTTTTGTTTCCCCATTGCCTCTGCTCACGCACCGTCTGGTGCAAGGCTCTACTAGAGGCTTCCCTGATGGGGTCCGAGCAGGGGTCGGAGGATCTCGCCGCATCGCCGATGCATCGGCGATGCAGTCGATGTGGAGCCCGACTTCCTCCACGCCGGCGCCGCCGATGCACTGCCGACGTCGCCGATGCATCGCGGAAGTACCGCCAATGCACCAGCGATACGGCGCGATCTTCCGACCTCATTTATCCGGACTCCATGTAGGAGGCGTCTAGATGTCCAACGTGCCCAGATATCCAACGCATTGAGCCAATCATTGCGGGCGTTGTGTGTGGTTGTTGATGTTGTTTTTGTTTTTTGTTGTTTTTGTTGTTGTTGCTGTTGCTGTTGCTGTTGCTGTTGCTGTTGCTGTTGCTGTTGTTGTCGTTAAGTGTTAATGTTTAAGCATTTTTTTTATTGTTGGACCCATTACAGGCGCCCGCGCGCTCTCGCCGAGGCGCAGGCTGCATTTTCATGGAAAGTGAGGCTCACTCTCAAGCGGAATGGGGGACCGCCGAAACGGCCCCCCCCCCACAAAGCAACGCCCCTGTTCGAGATTTCTTATTTTTTACTCATGGCTGGTGCCTTTGCTCGCCGCCGAAAGCAGCCGTCTCGGCAAGATTCATTGCGTGGAGCTCCCCATATGTGCATATATTCGTATGGACCTGTCCGCCGTGAGTGTCTGGGCGCAGGAGTTTTCGAATATAAGCGGGCTTGAAATGTGACGGTCTGGTCATGAATCTAACTGCGCATGAATTGGAGTGTGAATGAGCCTCAGTAGTACGAGCGCGTCTCAGCGCATGAGCCTGGGGCCTCCTGGGGCCTCCTGAAACCTTCTGGGGTTTCCTGGGCCTCCAGGGTATTAGTAATACCAGACCTGAGACCTCCTGGAGCCTCTTGGGGCCTCCTGGGGCCTCCTGGGACCTCCCAGGGAGGATTCGTGCCCGAGGAGATGCCCAATCTATAGGAACAGACGTACATAAAACATTGCGGATTGGAGCCACAGGAGAGTGGCAATCTACAGGAGCACGCGTAAAACACCAAGGACTCGTGCCCCAGGAGAGGCCCAACATATAGAAACATAAGTAAAACAATTAGGACTGTGTACACAGGAGAAGGACAATGTATAGAAACATACGTATACCATCAAGGATTCGTGCCTCAGGTGACGCCCAATCTATAGGATCATACATAAATCACATTGGATTGGAGCCACTCCTATTGCCTTCTGAGGCCTCCTGCTCCTGGGGCCTCTCGGGACCTCTTGTTGCCTTCCGAGGCCTCCTGGCGCTTTCTGTGGCCTCCTGGGGCCTCTTGTGGCTTCCTGAGGCCTCCTGAAGCTTCCTGGGGCCTCCTGGAGCCTCTTGGGACATCCTGTGACCTCTTGAGTCTTTCTGTGGCTTCCCGAGGCCTCCTGGGACCTCATGTGGCCTCCTGGGGCCTGTTGGAGCCTCCGGTGGCATCCTGAGGAGAATCTGTGTCCACGAGTTTGGCCACCCAAACTAGCAAACCGATCGAGACATCCTCCAAATCCGCTCTCCAAGCGAAGGGAGTTGGGGCAGAAAACAGGCAAACCGTTGAGACATCCCCACAAAACGGCGCCGCGAACGGGACCGTGCAATACCCTTCGGCGGCTCCCCTTACGGGTGCTGAAGCCAGCGCCCCGCCTGAGACATCCTCACTGAGACAGCAAACAGGCAAACCCCTTGAGACATCCCCACAAAACGGCCACGAACGGGACCGTGTCATACCCCTTGGCGGCTCCCCTTAGGGGTGCTGAAACCAGCGACCCGCCTGAGACATTCTCACAAACTGCTGTGTGCTGAGTAAGTCAGACAATGAGAAGGTTTGAGTACGAGTAAGTCTGGGTATTAGTGACTCTCAGCAGGAGTAAGTCTGAATATGAGTAGGTCTGAGTATGAGCAGGTCTGAGCATAAATAAGTTAATATTACCAGGTCTAAGCATGAGTAAGTCTTTGTATGTGTGAGTCTATGTATGAGTAAGGCTAGGTATGAGCAGGAGGAGGATGAGGAATATGAGGAGAAGAAGAGGAATGAAGAGTAGGAGGCGCCCAAGCAATAACAATAACCCCATCTTAGGATATGGGAACACCAGCGCTCCCGCTCGAGACGTCCTCTCGTTTTACCTTGGGCAGGCGCGCTACTCTTTCTCTCATCGGCGCCGCCCCCCAGCAACAACGCTCCCTCTCGAGACTTCCTACCTTTTTTACCTAAGGCGGTGTTCTTGCTCGCCGCTGATAGCCTCCCGTCCCGACAAAACCAACGCTCCCGCCTGAGACTTCCTCCCGTTTTACACCGGACTGGCGCCATTTTCTCCTCCTCCTCCTCCTCCTCGTCCTCCTCCTCATCTTTCTCCTCCTCCTCCTCCTCCTCCTCCTCCTCCTCCTCCTCCTCCTCCTCCTCTCCCCCTCCTCCCTCCTCCCCCCTTCCTCCTGTTCCTCCCTCTTCCTTCCTCCACCCCCTTCTCTTCTCCCTCCTCCCTCTCTCCTCCGTCCCTCTTTCCTCCCTCCTCATCCCCCCCCTTCTCCTCCATCTCCTCCTTCTCCTCATCGTCGTCCTCCCTCCCTCCTCTTCTCCTCCCTCCTCCTCCTCCTCCTCCCTCCTCCTCCCTCCTTCCCCCTTCTCTCTTCCCCCCTCTTCCTCCCTCCACCCCCTCCTCTTCTCCCTCTTCCCTCCTCCCGC